TGGGCCAACTAATTAATAAAACTCAGACAACGCATAACTGGCACGAGGAACACGGTAGGAGCACAGAGGCTAAGCAAAAAGAAAAAACTGCTACAACTGGTCGATCTCGACCTGAATCCCCCAAATAAGCACACAGGCTTAGTGCCAGTTAGGCTGCCAATTAGACTGGAGAAACTAATTAATAAAACTCAGGCAACGCATAACTGGCACGAGGAACACGGTAGGAGCACAGAGGCTAAGCAAAAAGAAAAAACTGCTACAACTGGTCGATCTCGACCTGAATCCCCCAAATAAGCACGCAGGCTTAGTGCCAGTTAGGCCGGGGAAATTTAATAAAACTGTGATCAACGTATAACTGGGACCGGGAACACTTCAGAAGCACAGAGGCTGAGTGCCAGGAAAACTGGGAATTATCTCCACTAATGTAACCAACAAGGCACGTAGCCCAATAACCAGTAAGACTGCCATAAAAGGCTAGGGCTGGACATAGAGGGTAAACAATGAATAATGACCCTAGCTAGAGGTCTGTAACATTGCCTGCAACCTAACTGCGTCAAACGAGACTTACGTCGCCTCCTAAAGAGCGGTTCCGGGACAGCTGACCTAAGCATACACGGAAACTAAATATATCAAGTAAAGGAGCAGGTGCAAAACTGAGATAACTAGAGTACAAGTACATAAAATAAGAAACGGGAAACAGGCTGAAAACTAGCAGAGCTGAGCTACCGCTTACAAACTGAAGTAAATGCGGTCAGACGGAGGCCAGAAAAAACCTGCCCAAAAAAACCCCGAAGGGAAAAAATGCGGGCAGGAAATCTGGGTAGGAACCAAGGCTCAAGCTCAAAGCCCTTCCTACGGGACTTTACAATGTAATCGAGAATATGTTGCTCCTAAAAATAAATAAAACAAAAATTTAAGAAAAACCAAGGAGAGGTTGGTTCGTAAGCCTAGATGACGAACACGTGATATACGCAGCCTTATATACCCCCGATATGGCTACCCATGGTGCACCCGGCCTAGTACCCAGGCCCTGTTGTATCTCGTGCCGTCAAAATATTTATTTCTGCCTTCTTCGCGGGCTCATTCGTCAGAAATAACATTTATCGCGCAAAATTGTTCGATCGTGCCGAATCACTGCGACGTCGAGAAAAACAGAACCCAGCATCATTGGTATACTACTCCACTATAAGCAGTCCGTTGATAAAGGGAAAGTAAACTCTGCTATTTTCCAAAATTATGCTCGAACACAAACAGTTCAAAAACATGGCATTTACAGGATCTAACTCGTACTAAGGTGCCTCTCTAAGTCCGTTGAGAACAATCTGGACGAGCGGTCGTGTTTATCTTTGCCGTGAATCGAGATAAATACAAGAAGGAATCTAGCCGAATTTTAGAATGTTTCCTTCGCCAGGAGTTTAGTTTCGTCACGAAACTCATGGCCTGATGCTCTTGTAATCGTTTACAAAAAACGGCCGCCGCCAACTCGATAGCCGCTTCATTATATGTCCACATACTTTGAGTACAAGAAAAATCCAAGAGCCAGCAGCCTCTAAAATAACTCAATAGAAAGGTCCTGTGAACTATAGGGAAGATTCCATCAAAGATTCCATCACTCATTGTGGAGTAGCCGTCATTAACTCTGCCATTACAACGGCCGCTGATAAGAGGACACTATGCTACGCCAAACGTGACAAAATATCAAGGATGCAACTTTATAATTCAAATCCACCAATTCGCTATCAAGATCGATAAAATTAACATCAATTTGCTTGTTGAATGTGTCAAGATTGTCGAATTTAATGTCAATTCCCACGTGTTTCATGTCATGTATCAAGAGACACGTTTTCCAAATCAAATTGCACGTTTTCTAAATCAATATGCACGTTTTTTAAATCAAGAAGGGAGACGACAATTTTTGATCAGTTTTGTTTCCGAGAGGGACTGAAACCGAAAAACCTGCTATGCTCCTTGAAGAATCCCGCCCATTCTTGCCCATTCTCGCATTCCCGCCCTCCCGCGTTAGACATGGCAGAGGAAGGAATGGAAGAACTTGTCAGAAGAATCATTCGATGAGCACAAGAAGGAGTTAACACATCTCGAGCTAATGTGGCCTCAAACGTGTCAACACCTGACGAAGAACTGAGGCGGCGATTTAACTTGCCACGTAGAAGTGAAACTACGACAAACAGCACGAATTCGTGCAGCACATCGACAGAAACCTTGACAAGCTTACAGTACACGTATAACCCACAAGAAAATTACGGTCATACAAACCCTAGAAGACAAAGAAGACAAGCTCCATACTACTCAAGAAATCGAGGGCGACCACTGACGAGACCACAGACTGCGACTGCCCCAAAATATCCTCCAACCTTAAAGGAGGCCATTTTATTGCCAAAACCTTCATGGGGTAAGGTCCCCAAATATGCGAAAAAGGCAAATTTACAGGAAAAAGGATTTATCCTCGATTGTTTTCCAATAGAGAGACACTGGTCCGAAAGCGAGCTGAAGGAAAGATTAACTGTGGCATTTGGAGATAAACTACGTGGAGGTGGGGGAGAGAAAGTTGGGTAAGCTCAATGACCCTTATTTAAACTGCTAAAATTTGTCTTTACATGATCTTCTTTCCAAGGAAATCGCTCAGTCAGATGCAAACTCACTGCTGATGCAGTTCAAGCAGCTCACTTTAAGATAGGGTATATATATCAGGGAGCTTGGGTCTATAATGGGGTATCATTTTCCAGGCAACTGATCAATTGGTTGAAGATTTTAGTTTAGAATAGGGAAACCAGGCATTGGCACTCCAAATATATAAAAAAAATCAAACCGCTTTTTGTAATGTAGTAGGCTGCTAAGTATGATCGGATAGGTTGACCACGTGCTTTTGCTAGCAGTAGCAATGCTACGGTTGCAATGAAATTGGTTGAATGGGATCCCTGCTTACCTTGTTACATGTTGTTAGCAAATTTTCAAAAACCTCGTAGAGGATTTTAGGGGATGTTTTTTTTTCTTTTCAGGTTTGATTTTGTGAAAGTGATAGGAAGTAGTCTGCATCCAAGAAATCTTCCAATAGGAATGGACTTCACAGCTAAGGTTCTTCTCGGAATTGTAAAGCAAGGGCCAGTGTATCTAAGGAGTAGGAGATCTCTTGAAGTTGTAAGTTATTTTTGTACATGTATTGTAATTATAATCTGTTGAAAGAAATTAATCCTTCAAACTCTAATATAAAAATGTAACTTCTCATTTGCTGCCTTCATGCTAAGAAGTAATGGTGATATCTTCTTAAAATGAATATCTAGCAAATTAATTGGATCTTGTGTGGTTTGGGCAGCCCTCGGCTGAGTATCAGTCAACACAATCGGCTGATACTATCAACCGATACTTGGCCAAGGGGTGCCCAAATTACACAAGAGCATTATTTATTTCGTGCGATTACTTTTTGAAGTTCTGTAGCCACTTTGTTTCATCAAGCATTGAAGAGAGAAAGGAGACATGTAATGCAGGTCACTCTTGGGACTTAATTTATTCTCATGACTAAGTGTGTGTCTAAACTAAGTAATGACAGTTGGGGGCCATTAAAACTCCTGGGGGGGGGGGTGGAATTAGCTCTTTGACTAAAACTTTCCTCACAGAGGGATGTGCATGCCAGTTTTGTGATATCTAAAATCAAAGGTTATTGAGGCTATCACCTTCATTGTTAGGTAAAGTAAGGCAGCTTTTATAGTAGTTCTCAATATGGTCTTAACCCATCTTCACATCTCTCTGATTTACAACTACATTGTGATTGTTATGCAAGATACACTGTACATTGAATTTACACTAATTTTCACTGAGACTATAGATTACCAGTGTTGTAATCACACTTTCTCCACCAATCTGAAGGGTGAAGACAGTGACAGTGATTGAGAGGAAAATGAGGATAACCTGCCGCCTGCTTTTGCTTACACACAGCAAAATGTGTGTAGCACCTTTACAGAGCATGAAGTTCAAAATGGACTGGAAGAAAGGGATTCATGTACAGTGAACACCATTTTGCCATATGTTGTCCAGCAAAATCCTTCAGTGGAGCAAAAACCAGCAACATGTCACTCTGATGACAGTCATTCCAACCCTAGCAGTTCTGGTATATTGGAAGAAAGGGCTTCATGTTCAGTCAACACCATTCAGCCATATGTTGTCCAGCAAAATTCTTCAGTGGCACAAACACCAACAGCATGTCCCTCTGACAACAACCATTCCAACCTTTATAGCAACTCAGGTATATCTATTGGGTGTTTTCTTAAGGTAGAAAGCAAAGGTGTAAAATTTCTCTCTATTTCTCATGTCATGGAGATGGAAGCAAGGAGACAGTGAAATTTAGATTAAATAGCATGACTGTACAGCTGTATGTTGATTTGCCAAAAATATGCTGTCATAAGGAACTGTTTCAATTTCATACTGTTCATGTACATATATGAAAATTTGCAGGTGTTGATGACCTAAGTTTAGAAAGAAAACATAAGAAGCTAATTAAGATGTTCCTCATGCTTTTCATAGTTGTTTTAGAAGCAGGTGCAACATCAGTGTTTGCAATCAATCAATCAACCAATCAACAACTTTATTTAAGTGTCTAATATTCTAGCTTGCCGTCAGGCCTACTAATCGGGGACACTACTTAAATTACTTATTATTAAGAAATATAGATACATAATACTATAAGCCAATAAGATTTAACTATTCTAAAACTACTTAAAAGATACACGATATTCAATATGCTTCGAAAATACACAACATTACAGGGTTTCATTTTACCTTGATCCACCCATGCACTGTACATCAACAGAATACTGATAATCAAGCATACAATAAATAGCCTTGTTTTCACCTTGTTGTGCTACATGTATATGACCTCTAGAAACAGGCATGAGTATGTATGTTGAAAGCATATCATAGGTTTTGTTCTTTATTTCTAAATTGCATTTAATGGACTGTTTCTAGATTGTATTGAGCAACTGACAGTGATGTTCCCAGACATGACCCGTGAATCCTTGCAAAGTACTCTACAGGCCTGGAACTATGACATCCACAGGGCTGTCACTTCCATATTGAGTAACAAAGAAGGTATTGGCTAGTAAAATGTTTCAAGCTAAGCTTTTCACAAGTTTTTATTGAAGTTGTTTTTTTTACAAATTGTTTTTTTACTGTTGACAGAAACTGAACATAGTGATGATGATGATATCCCTCTAAGTGCCTCCTTGAATGTATCCCCCGAATTAACGGTGAAAGAATTCAGGGATCATATGGTTGACAAATATGTTCCTGAGCAAACCATCAGAGCTAGTCACGACTCCAACATTTTGAGAGACATGTTTAGATATTTGAAGTCGAGGCAGTTCAACCTGAGGGCAAGGCCAAATGTTGTGTTTGACGGTGAAGATGGGATGGATGCAGAGGGACTTACCAGAGAACTTTGCCACATGATGATGTCCAGCATGCGAGATGGTAAAGGTGGCATCATTCTTTTTGAGGGGCAGATAGACCATCTCATTCCTGTTCATAATGAACAGTATTTAGCTTCCCAATACTATAAGTATGCAGGTCAGCTGATAGCATACTGTTTTATACATGCTGGGTTTGGTATAACTGGATTGTCACGGGCCATAACAGAATATTTGAAGACTGCTGAAATGAATGAGTGCCTTCCATATGTCTCAAAGGATGACATCCCTGACCTGGATATACGTGAGAAACTAAAACAGGTAGATCCTCTCCTTTTTGCCCTGGATATAAACATTTGACAGGCAATATTAACTTTGTTTTTCTTACAAGAAAGGAGGAAGTACAGGGGAATAGTGCCACGACTGGCAAACAAAAACTATGGGTGGTATATGCATAAATAAATTATATGTTCAATGTCATTCCAAAATAGAGTTTTTTTGAATAATTTTTGTAAGTACCTTGCTGAGTGAAATAAGCTGCTCTTAAAAGTTTTTAGTTACTTAATATCTCAGAGGCAGCTAAAAGGTTGGAGAAAATGGTCTTCCTATAATTAACTCCCTCTGCCCTTAAAAAGCCCAAAAGCTTTGAGTCTCTGATTTCCAAAGTCTATAACCTATCATACAATATTTTTGTGTAAAACTAATATTTCCTCATTGATAAAAGGCAAACTGCAAGAGGACAGTCATGCTTCCATTTTTTCAGTTTAATATGGATGTACACTAGTGATAGCAGGGAGCTTAAGCAATGACGATGGCAATGTTAATGGAAAGGGCAAAACAGCGATAAGTTTAGATTGGTAAAACAACAACTTTGCATGTGCATGTTGTTAGTTGAGTTCCCTAATCTTTAGTTCTCCATTTATTTTTATCAGGCAGCAGTCTGTTACAGTATATTTACTACAGTTTCATATAATTGAGGTTTCTTTCCACTTTAGACGCAGGATGCTGAGAGTGAGGAGATGTTGTATAATGCCGTTTATAACGATGACAGCATACAGCTCCTCCTCATGCAAGCAGGCTTTGCCAATGAATTGGTCAAGCTAAACAACAAACACAGAGCGTGCCAAGCAATCATCCTCCACCTTGTATTCAAAACAAGAAAGGAGGAACTCGATCAGTTAAAAAGTGGTCTTGAAAGTCTCTCTGTGATAAACTTTCTTAAGGTTTCTGAGGGCTCTTTAAAGTATGTGTTCCCTTTACAAAGTGAAGCAGTGGTCACCAAAGATGATTTCCTAAAAGTGATTGAAACATCTGTTGACTCTCTGGAGGGTGATGAGAAAAAAGCTTATGATTGGTTTGTACAATATGTACATGAAGTAGCAAACACAGGTAATGTTTAAACTTATATTATCATCTACTTTATTCTTTTGTATAGTGTGCAGATGACACAACAACAGTCATGACTCATGAAATACAGTACTGCAAAAGCCATTCAGAACTTTTGAATGTCCTGTTAACACTGGCCCAGAATACAGCATACTATTTTTTATAAATTATTTATAATGTGCCGTTGGGTTAAGCAAACTAGGATGTTATTATTTATTTTTTTGAATCTGAGAATTCAGTTAGAAACAAAAAAATACAAGTCCACTTGTTGAAATTGAGAGAAGCATAACTTACAGAATCAACTTCAGAAATGATTCTTTTGTTTGGCAATACAGAGGAGAAGTGTGATGTCATGTGACTGTGGTATCACTTTTTTCTGGATGACAACAAAACCAACGATAATGGTGATGGAAAGGAGATCGGCAAAAAATAATATGATTTTACGAACAAACAACAAATTTGCATGCTATTTTGTACATTTCTTTGCCGTCGTTGCACCACTACGACATGGAACTAATGAACTAAAAAAAAAATTTTAAAAATTATCGCTTTCATTTTCTAAACTTTGAAATTGAATAAGATTGGTGAATCTTGAAATTGTGTGAATAGCCTTTTTAAGTGTCTTTTTCGGTTTGTTGTCTTCCAAAAATTTTGCTACCATGGAAACGTGACGTAGCAACCCCTCCTCTCTATTTTGTGGTTCGTTAGCCTGCATTATGATCATTATTGTCCCCATGTTCACAGTGTCAGCTGAGGCAAAAGACCAGCCTTTCAGTTCACTTCCAACACTGGCTCAGTTGGTTCAGTTTGTGGCAGGACATCCTTATCTACCTTCATCTCGGATGAACATCAGTTTCAGTGCTATGGTGTATCCAGATGCAGATACATGTTTCTTCAGCCTTCGATTACCCACTATCTACAGCAGCTATGACGAATTCAGGAAGGCCCTTAATACTGCCATTACATGCCAGCATCTTGGTTATGGAAGGGGTTAAAGGCTGGGGAGTCAACAAAAAAAACCTGTCTGTTTTTGAATAAGGCATTGTTCAGTTTGGAACGTTTTCTCATGTTAAGTTCTCTTGCTCAAAATAAGACGAAAATTTGTTCCATGTTGTTTACCGACAAATTTGAGATCTTTACTGACCTAATCTTTGTAGTGTAACATACATTGATTTGATTGAAAATTAGACTTCTAGATTTGACAAGACTTGAATGTAATATTGTTTGATTAATGGTTCAAAATTTTTTGAGTTGAAGTTCATTGATGTATGGTATTGAAATAATCATGTATTCTTGTTTTTTGTTTACCAGTAGTTGATTATATTATGACGTTCATGGTGACAAAGTTAATCCCAGAAAGTAACATTAAAAAAAAAAAGAGGGAAAAAAATTTCACTCTAATCCGTCTTACCATAAACAACCCACATTTTTGTTGCTAGGGTTGTAGCTCAATGGTGTATTCCTGTATGTGGCTGATCTCTTACAGAGACTACTATTCCCTAACATGATTTCCCATCAAAACTACCTGATGACCTCCTGATCTGACATGCGGGAACCAGGACTAGTGAATTTTGCTATGGGGCTTGTAAATTCTGTCTTTTACTTGCCCGACATAAAAGTGAAGTGTTTTGGGGAATTAACATTACAGAGGAACTGTAATCAATCCTGCTCATAGAAATATAGTTCGACCTAGCAAAAAGTACTCTTACCCTAGTACTAGCCTGCGTGCAGACGATAACTAAACTCTGATTAGTACCGTCTGCGAAGCAGCGCAGAGATCCTTGTTCTGGACCCCCAACGGACTCAATGAATTACCGGAAGTGCGTTTCGAATTCCCCTTCAACCTGATTGGCGATCACGACAAACAAAACAAAGGCCTTTTTTAACTGGCCAATCGTGGCGCGTACTCAAATCTGGGTACACAGCTGGAAGTCCAGAACAAGGATTTCGGCGCTGTTTCGCAGACGGAGCTAACCAGAGTTTAATTTCGTCTGCGCGCAGGCTACCCTAGTACAGGCTAGCTGTAGCTTGCCCAAATGGCGAGCTGTAAAACTGAATTTCCTTGAACCTTGAGCAATTACAACATTTGAGCCAGCAGCCATAATGATATTCGTTGGGGTCCATTGTTGTGATGTTTAGTTCTCTCTGTTATCTTTTGGCTAAAGGTTGCCAGTAATAATTCATTGCTAAGAAACGGTAATTGCACTTGTTAAAAGATGCCTTTACTGTTTCTCAAATGGACAACAAAGGCATGAAGTAATTTCTATGTTACAGTTGAGTACAAAAGCCAGGTTGGTTAATACATAAGCCTGCTGAGCTTTTCCTTAGCTACATCCCTAACTTGAGTAACAGCTATTCAGACATTGTTCATTCAGACATAAGACAGACATAAAAAGGGTGGGGATATTTTTTATTTGATGCAGTTTAGTGATACAAAACTAGCTGAGGGGAACTTCTACCTAGGCACTACATGTCACGTTTCAAAGAGTCAGGTAAAAGAAATTACTGTTTTGGAAAAAAGTCTGGAAAAAGTGTGGAGTTTTGGATTCGTAAATCTGAACGAACCCCATAAAAAAAGCCAAATTTCAATTAGTTTAGAAATTTACTGACCTTTCAACAGTTTTTAACATTCCTCTATAAATGTTCAATTCTTCCGAGTACTCCCAAAGCTGTCAAATAAGACATTATTCCATGCTCATCTACAGGCACTGCAGAAACCTCCTGTCTTAGTAATAGCACTTCAGCATTCGACAATTGTATGGGTGATTCAGGAACAGAAACTGTCTCACTTACTTCTATAGAGGGTACAGGACCTTCCTCTTCAATACCGAACTCCTCAAAATTTAAATTTTCACCCTCAATAACATCTCTGACTGCAGATAACTGAGAGCTGCGTAGCTGAAGCATCCCTTGTGTCCACAGCTGCCTGGGACTGTAGTTTGATTCTGTTGTGACAGGATGGTCATTCCATTCTCGTGATAGTTCACTAAGTGCTACATTTATCAGTGGAAGAAATACGAAGTGTAGTGCATAAATATGAGTCTCATTGTTAGGGTCGAAAATCCCCCTGCTTTCCAAGAATAAAAATACATTCAAGAATCTGGACACTACGACTCTGTTAACTTCTCTCCATAAGCGTTCAATCCGTTGATTGTGTACTGAATTTCCAGTTATGATACTGCCCCTGTTCATTCCTCTCGTTTGTATCATAAACCTTCCAACCTCTACATTTTCCAAACCCCTGTCACTTCGTACTCTTGATGGAACATTGTAATATCTGATAGCCTCCCTAAAAAGTGCCAGTGCAGTACTTGCACGATTATTTGTGGAAGCACGAAGATAGACAACTAATCTTGAAAAACCATCAATTTCACCGTGTATCACAATACGATATGGTTCAATCTCCCTCAGAACTTACAGGCGGCACGCCCAAGATTCTGAGGAGGAGGTAGTCTGTCTTTTGAAATGTCGCTCATTTATCCAAATTATTATTGTAGGTTATTTTTGTAGTGTCATTTTTTTTTAATAGGCCAAATTAATTATAGGGCTACCCTCTCCCTCAGAGCTTACAGGCGGCGCGCCCAAGTTTCTGAGGTGAAGGTAGTCTCTCTTTTAAAATGTCGATCATTTATCCAAATTATTATTGTAGGTCATCTTTGTACTGACATTTGTTTCTGAACTAGGCCAAATTATGGGGCTTCCCTCTCCCTCAGAGCTTACAGGCGGCGCGCCCAAGATTCTGAGGTGATGGTAGTCTCTCTTTTGAAATGTCGGTCATTATCCAAATTATTATTGTAGGTCATCTTAGTACTGACTTTTGTTTTGAAATAGGCCAAATTATGGGACTATCCTCTCCCTCAGAGCTTACAGGCGGCGCGACCAAGTTTCTGAGGTGATGGTAGCCTCCCTTTTGAAATTATAATTGTAGTTTATTTTTGGTAGTCTGTCTTTTGAAATGTCACTCATTTATCCAAATTATTATTGTAGGTTATTTTTGTAGTGTCATTTTTTTTAATAGGCCAAATTAATTATAGGGCTACCCTCTCCCTCAGAACTTACAGGCGGCACGCCCAAGATTCTGAGGTGGAGGTAGTCTGTCTTTTGAAATGTCGCTCATTTATCCAAATTATTATTGTAGGTTATTTTTGTAGTGTCATTTTTTTTTTATAGGCCAAATTAATTATAGGGCTAACCTCTCCCTCAGAGCTTACAGGCGGCGCGCCCAAGTTTCTGAGGTGAAGGTAGTCTCTCTTTTAAAATGTCGATCATTTATCCAAATTATTATTGTAGGTCATCTTTGTACTGACATTTGTTTCTGAACTAGGCCAAATTATGGGGCTTCCCTCTCCCTCAGAGCTTACAGGCGGCGCGCCCAAGATTCTGAGGTGATGGTAGTCTCTCTTTTGAAATGTCGGTCATTATCCAAATTATTATTGTAGGTCATCTTTGTACTGACATTTGTTTTGAAATAGGCCAAATTATGGGACTATCCTCTCCCTCAGAGCTTACAGGCGGCGCGACCAAGTTTCTGAGGTGATGGTAGCCTCCCTTTTGAAATTATAATTGTAGTTTATTTTTGTAGTGTCATTTGTTTTTGAAATAGGCCAAATTATAGGGCTTCCCTCTCCCTCAGAGCTTACAGGCGGCGCGCCCAAGATTCTGAGGTGAAGGTTGTCTCTCTTTTAAACTGTCAGTCGTCAACCATAGTATTATTGAATTTTCATTTTCCAGAGTTCATAGTGGTACCTTCTTTATTTTTTTTGTATTTTAATGAATTTTTTGTTTTAAAATGTTTTACTTTTTTTTACATTCTGACTTATGAACACGGAACACGTAAAGAAAAAATACAAAAAACGGAAAGGAAAACTAAACATTATACATCGCAGACTAACACACAATTACATACTTACAAAAAAGGAAACAAACGAAACAAAAACCCAGTACCTTCTTTTCTATTTACACGAAAAAAAGTAAAATAAAATAAATAAAAAATAAAGATTAATAATAAATGAAGTAAGCTGAGAAGAGATCGTATGCTAATCAGTTTTATATTTGCCCCATTTTATATTTATATTGTGGGTCTCCAACTTATTGTTTGACTTAGCGATCATTGTCTCTATTAAGGAGACAGTATTAATTTTGGAATGAAGAACTCTGATGGAGGGAGGATATTTGCTCTGTCTACAAGAGTATAGATATTGTTTTGCCAGTAATAAAATATGATTCACAAATATCTCATCCTCACATCCAATAATACCAAAGAGTATATCTTTGTCTGAAAGATTTTCAATCTTGACCTTATGATCAACAAGCCATTTTATAACCTCAGACCAGAAATTCTTGGTATAATGACAAGACAGGAAAAGATGTTCGAGGGATTCGTCCGATTCACCACACAAGGAGCTCGCTGGAGATGGTATAATACCAATTTTGCATAAGAAGGTATTTGTCACAAGGCATCTGTTTAATAATTTATACTGAAATTCGCGAGTCTTTGTATTTAAGGCAACACGATATGGCAAGCTATAGATTTTTTTCCAGTTCAAAGTATCATTAACAAAATTAGCATCAAACTTTAGTTTAGCAGTTGGTGGAGTGACGACTCTGTTTCGAAGTTCTTTATAAACAATTTTCGAATACGCTTTTTCAAGTAAAACAATTTGACCACTTAAGCGTAACTTAATCTCATCACGCAAAATTGAATGGTGTGTCACCTGTATAGATGCAGGATTTCAACGATTCACGCCATTGAGTTGGTAGAGCGTCTATTAAAGAAACAAGCCTAAAGGCATCCAGCGGCGAAAGGTTCAAGACTCTCAACTCGCTTTTGATTATAAGTTCATGTTTATTCGAGATTAAATCACCCACTCCGGTAAGATCCCTTTCTCAGCGAGATTTCGAAAATACACAGACTTGTCACCAACACAAATAAATTTGTTGTTCCATACGATAACTTTTGAAAAGTCTTTTCCATTTAAATCCTGTATATTTAAATTATTTACCGCAGAGCACTTTGCAAAAGATTTTAAACATTCTTCATAAAAGGCTGGTAATTTGATAGTCAATTTCTTCAAATCAAAGTCGCAACATAAGACTAATTTACCACCAACAGGTTTCAGATAATGCAAAAGGATTATTTTCCATCTACTCGGTTGATCATTTGCCAATTTCTTGCAGCAAAGTATTCTTTGTGTTTCAATTATAGAGTTTAAATGTGGGGCTTTAAGTCCTCCATCTTCGATATCACTGATAAGTGCAGAGCGTTTAAGTTTATCCTTTCCTTTCCATATAAAATCAAAGATAATTTTGTTCGTTTCTTTCACAAATTCTTTATCCAATGATATCAAGCTTGTGCGATATAAGAAGATAGGGATAATAAAGGTTTTGACAATTTGAATTCTCCCTATGACAGTCAAATCCCTCCACCTTCAGATTCGTAGCTTAAGTTGGATGGAGCTGATTAATTCATTGATCTTTAGCTTTTGTTTTGCTTGATTGTCATAGGTAAAATGTACTCCTAAGATTTTAGCTGATCGTTTAATTTTTATGTTGTTCAGAGTGGCTTCTTGTACGGTACAGGCCAGGTTACCTAGTAGCAAAAGTTCTGTCTTTTCGTGGTTAACCTTTAGGCCAGAGCAAGTTCCATAATCTTCTATAAGTTTAAGAAAGTTTGTTAGAGAGAGGTCATCCTTTAAAAACCCAGTCAGGTCATCTGCGAAAAGACTTAATTTGATTTCTTCTTTATCGACTTCAACACCACGAATGTCATTACTGTTACGTATGTTAACGCATAAAACTTCTAATGCTATAATAAATAAGTAAGCAGAGAGAGGGTCTCCCTGTCTTACTCCTCTTTCAACTGCAAAGGATGAAGTTGCAAAGCCATTATCTAAGACACAACTCGAGACATTCTTGTAAAAAGTGTGGATCCATTGAATAAAAGATGGTCCAAAACCAAAAACGGATAACGTTCGAAATAAGAAGTCCCTACTAACTGTGTCAAAAGCTTTTTTAAAATCTATACAAACCATTCTTCCGTCAATACTGTATCTCTTTGAGAATTCCATAACGTCCTCTATGGTTCTGACCGCGTCGAAAGTGGTTCTACCCTTCACATATGCAGATTGATTGAAATGTATGATGTTTGGTAAAACATTCTCCAATCACTTGGCAATGGCTTTTGAACCGATTTTAACATCAACATTAATAAGCGAAATCGGTCTCCAGTTTGATAAGTCCCTTTTGTCTTTGTCCTTCTTTTCTATTAGGGTAATAATGGCTTCTTTCTGAGAGTTTGAGAGCTCACCATGATCATAAGAGTAGTTTAAGCTGTCTACTAATAGCTGTCCTAAGAGGCCCCAAAAAGCCCTGTAAAATTCGACTGTTAGTCCGTCATTGCCTGGTGACTTGTTACTTTCAAACAGCTGAAGACTTTTGTAACACTCTTCAACCGTTAATTTTCCCTCGCAAATTTGAACATCAGTATCAGAGAGTTTTGGCATTTCAGGATTGTTTAAAAAAGAGTTTAACGTGTGTTCAGATGGGCTAAGAGGGTCACGCTCACAAAGATTAGAATAAAAATTTTGAATTTCTTGCAATATTTTTTTAGGATCCGTGATTAGAACTCCATTATCGTCAAAAACCTTACGGACAGAACTCTTAGCTTTCTTATGTGTTTCGAGGTTTAAAAAGAACTTATTGCTTTTTTCTCCTTTTTCATACCAAGTGGCTTTCGATCGGATTATAGAACCTTTTGCTATCTGTTCATAGATAGAATCATATTCCATTTTTAACAATTCAAACTCTTCCTGGTTCTCAGGAGTTGATGAACTACCGCATCTCTCTTCCGAAATCTTCGAAGAAGCCTCAATATCAGAGATCTTTCTTCTCCTTTCACGTGCTTTTTCTTTTCTATACTTTATTGTAATTTGTCTAATCCTGTACTTAATTAAATCCCACAACAGCCTTTTATCTATAACGTCTTTGAACTCCTCTAACCACAAAGGCATACTTTCATTTATCAGTGCAACAAAGTCGTCGTCATTCACAAGACTAGCATTAAACTTCCAGGAAGAGGGGCCGTGTTTTGGTTTGTCTATGCAGTTAAAATGGAGAAAAATTGCCGAATGGTCTGAATTTATCGAAGGAATGACATCGGACTTCTCAATGTCGTCTTGGCATACATCGCTAATCAGCC